CGATATTAACCTCTTTTCTCGATCGAAACCTTTCACCATGAGAATACGGTTGCCAGCCAGGACGGATTACGATACGAAGTTATATTTATGACATCACGAGGCCGTACGAGAATAAATGAAAGTTGCAAGATTACTCTTACTCTCGCCGAACGCGCGAGCACGCGCGAAAGGGAAACCCGTTTGTTATGTTCTCTCGATCAGAGTATATACTTTATTAGTATTTATGTGTTCTCTATACGTGTATCTCTCTCTCTCTCTCTCTCTCTCTCTCTCTCTCTGTGTGTGTGTGTCTATGTATGTGTGTGTGGGTGAATGTATATCTACAAATATCTATATCGTAGATAGTGATCGTAACATATACATAAATCAATCTTCTATTTCTAATTTGTATTTGTACGAATCCTTTTTTTTTTATTTTATATATTTTTCTTTTATGTATATATATATGTGTGTGTGTGTGTGTGTGTGTGTGTGTTCGTATGTATTTCTTTTTTCTTAGTTATTATTTAATACTTTCGTTTTATTTATTTATTAGATTTATTTTTAAATTTCATTTGTATTAAATGATAATCACTTTTATCATCTTCTTTTTCGTTATATATTTTTTTTATTAAACATTTCTTTTTCTTTTTTCTTTTTTTTCTTTCTTTTTTTTTTCTTTTTTTTTTTTTTTTTCTTTTTCTTTTCCTCTTTACGAGAAAATTGTCTTCCATTCTATCTCTCTGTCTCTCTCTCTCTCTCTCTCTCTCTCTCTCTCTCTCTCTCTGTCTCCTTTTTTCTTTTTTTTTTTTTTTTTAATTCTATTTTCTCATCTATCATGCTAAAGAATACTTATGGCTTTAAATAGTTACATAAAAAATTGCATTACTTTTACAAGCCGTGATATTTTTAATATTTATAAATAACGATTAAGAAAGTTATAAAATTTTATTAGAATTATAGAAAGACATCGTATTTATATATATATATATATATCCAATCAGTCTCATTCATTTGATTAATCAACTTTTTATCCTACTTTATGTTTATTCAATTTTCTTTTTTTTTTAATTCTTCTTCTTCTTCTTCTTTTTTTTTTTTATCTTTCATTATACCATTAATTTTAATTAAATAATATTAACAATTATAAATAACGTATTAAATCATTGGAGATATATTTTTGTTTGCCCTTTTTTTTTTTTTTATTTTACTTACAATAGTTCTATATTCGTAATTAAAAAGCAAGAGAGAGAAAGAGAGAGAGAGGGAGGGGGGAGGTGGAGAGAGAGAGAGAGAGAGAGAATGCATCGAAATTTGTTTATATAATTTGAAACATCGCGTTTATTATCGCTTAATGAATTATTTAATTAATTGGCTCGTAGCTATTCCTTCGTTATTGATAATACTTAATCGATGATCTTTCATACGGATGATTATATTTTGATGAGCCTCCATCATTAGTGAAAGTGAGAGAGTAAGTGAGATAAAGAAAGAGAGAGAGAGAGATAGAGAGAGAGAGAAAATGTGGTAGCATTAAATAAATGTTTTCTTGAAAAATTAATTGCTTATACTCAAAATGGGTTGGGTTAAGTAAACGCGTAAAGTAACAGCTGGCAGGTTGTAGTTACAACGATGTAAAAAAAAAAAAAAAAAAAAAAAGTAAAAAAAAATTGTACAGATACGTACACATACGCAGAACGTATTAGGTTGAAATATTTCTAAAATGATCATTATAAATCAATCGTATTTTGTCGAAATTTTTTACGATAATTTTTATTTATTTATTTTTAATTTGAGAACATCCTATTAACCCTAATTCCACCTTAATTTAATCAGAAATATCTTGAAAAAGATTCTGGATTCTAATCGATTTTTAAAAACGTCTAATCTAACTTTTGGCCCAGCTTAGAAATTTTTGGGCCTTAACAATGTATACACACATATACATATACACATATGCATATACATATACACATATACATATACACAGACACATATACACAGACAGACACATACCCACATATATATATATATAAATATATACGTACATATATATATATATATATATATATATATATATATATAATTTTAATTATTATATTCCAATACCAATATCATTGGTTGAATAAAATTTATTATCGTTGTAAAATTTTTCTTAGAATAATATCAATGAAAATAGAAAAAGGGAGAAATGAAAATTAAAAAAAAAATTAACGCGATATACGACGATTATTGTTTGTTACATTTGCGTGAGAGTTTATTTACGAGTATAGATATAGTTGTTACCTTGTTACCAAACGAGAGAAAGAGAAAAATGATGGTTGAAAGGGTGGGGTAGGATAAGTGGGCAGCGGGTTTGAAGTGGACAGAGTAGAGGGAAAGGTGGAGGAGGAGGAGGAGAAGGAGGAGGAGGAGGAGGAGGAGGTGCATTGTATCGGTCATTAAATTTGACGACAGAGATAACTCGCGACGAGAATGCATACACCGAGTGATTTTTTTTTGTTATTTATTTATTTACTTTTTTTTTTTTTTTTTTTTTTCGATAAAAAGAGAGAGAGAAAGAGAATAGAAAATTCGAATATATTATACAAATGAAAAGTTTATATTTCAATTCTTCGAACTTGAAACGATTAATAATAAACTTCATCGATATTTATAACAATACATACCTTTAATCAATATGACACTTTTATTTTACGAAATAATATTAAAAATTAATAATTATCTCGATGCGTGTATACGTGTGTTTAATGCTA